TCTAACTGCCTCCCTACAAGCACGAGCAGAGGAGGTATATTCATCTTTGGTGATCTCTCCCTGTTTCCACTTTTTATGTGCTCCCCTTTTGTCCCTTAGGCTGCCCTGGATTTCTCTGGTCAGCCAGGGAAGCCTCCTGGCCCCTTTCCCCCTTTTGCCTCGCTCGGGGATCATCTTGCTTTGTGCCTGAAGGATCGTTTCCTTAAGGCACAGCCACCCTTCTTGGGCTTCCATCACTTCAAAATATTGTGACATGTGTTACTTAGAGTACTGCTGGTTTATTCTGGTTTATACTTATCAAGGATGACAAGAGAAGGGTCACCTGTGGGGAGTGAGGGGGAAAAAAAAGGAGGTCACTTGTGGGCAGCTCCTAGAGTTTTTCAAAGGCTCCAGATTTTCAGATATCTACAGCAAAAATTAAGTCCCTCTGTGATGGACTGCCTCTTACTTATCCCCTGAAGAAGAGCAAACAATCAGAGCCAGCGCAGCTCTGCCTCTCCGCATTTCTGACAAGCTGGTTTTGTTCTGCCCCATGCCTTCCAACTATGTTTATTAAAAAACCCCCAGAAAACTCCCCACAAAAAACTGAGATGGCTACCTAAGGGAAGCTCCAGACTTGTGGTCTTAGATCCAGCTAGGCAGCAGCTTTCCAGTTCTCCCAGGCTTTTCCTGCCCCACAAGTTTCTTGATCCTCCCTTCCACATCTCTTGTTAAAGCGATACTTTTCAGTACTTCAAACCTCAATAAGCCTCCATGTTTCATAGTTTCATAGTAGGTAGGGTCAGAAGGGACCTGAGCAGATCATCAAGTCCGACCCCCTGCCATGGCAGGCAAGAGTCCTGGGGTCAAACAACCCTGGCAAGGTGTTCATCCAGCCTCCTTTTAAAGACCCCCAAGGTAGGAGCCAGCACCACTTCTCTTGGAAGTTGGTTCCAGGTCCTAGCCGCTCTGACAGTGAAGTAGCGCCTCCTGATGTCTAGCCAGAATCTACTCTCTGCCAGCTTGTGACCACTATTTCTAGTCACTCCTGGTAGTGCTCGGAGTAACAGGGACTCTCTGCCTTTCCAATGGCTGCTGCCCAGATATCCTCTGCATCACCTTGACCAGAACCACCGTAACAGTCCCTCATTTACACAGGACCCCTCTCCCCTAGTCTTTCTCTAAACTTCCGTAACTTTGGGAATCTTTGCAGAAAAAATGTCATCTCCTTGTCCTGCTTCCTTGGGAGTTTGACTGTTACTTCCTCAAAATTCCCCAGTGAGTCTATCTAAATAAACCACCAGTAAGAGGAATGTGAGAGTGAGGGAGATTTAAATCAATGGTTGGGTTGAGGGGGTCACAGAAGGGAGGGACGGATAGTAAAAATGAGTGTATTTGCAGGAAAAACACAATGAATAGACAATGTGTTGGGAAAGACCTACATTAAAATGCTTCAAAGCAATAAGAGGGATCATTATAATGGTGTTTTGGAAGGAGGATAAATGGCTTTCCTTGAAGTGGAAGAACAATATGTTAGTATGAAAAGCAGAGGGAGGAAGAAAATAAATATTGGGGTTTCCCACTGTTTGTTTTTTTTTCATCCTCCCTCTTTCTGTACAGAATTCCCTATTCTGTACAAATCTCATGTAAACTATATGTACTTACATAACTTTGTATCTCATGCCTTTTTTCTTTGCTTTTAGGATATTGACTGTTATAATGTCCTTTTAATGTTTACTAAAATGCCTAATGCTTTTCTGTGTTCTCCTTAATAGTATAATTCTTCACTAAATTAGGTGCATTATACAAATGGAACCAGAGGTAGTCAGAAAACTATATTTTCATTCCATTGGAATTTTTAAACTCTGTGTGTGTGTGTGTGTGTGTGTGTGTGTGTGTGTGTGTATTTTTATACATATATTTTGGCATATTTATATGCCTAAATCAGGACGGTTTAACTGGTGGCTGCAATTCTCATGCAACCCCTCGGCTTCTGGTCAGGGCGCTCCGCCCACAACTCCAGCTGCTGCTGCTGCCACTTCTGGAGTCTCAAGGCTCCCCCAGTCTCCTCCAGCCTTCACTCCTGCCCCTGTCTCAGGGGGTGGTGTGGCACAGCCTGCAGGGTTGAAGGAGCCTGTGGCCAGGGGATTTAAAAGGATCTGGGGTTACTGCATGGCACGGGGTGCTGGCACTGTACAGCGGTGATCACCTGCAGTGTGGCACATTGTGCAGGGCATACAGGTGCTAGCTCAATGCAGCTGGGGAGGAAGGGGCATGTTGCACAGTATGCAGTCTGCATAGCATATGCTGAGGGTGGTCTGTGTCCCCCAGCCACTCAGCAGTTGGAAAGTTCTGGTCTAAGTCTAATAAACCAAATAAGAAGTCTGCATGAATCTTTTCTGGATTTCCTATCTAAAGTGTCATTCAAATTGATGTGGTCAGAAAAAAGAACAAGAAAAAGCAAACCCCTCATTTTAATAAGAAAAGATTTCTCTTCAAATTTTCAAGCCAGTTCTATGTATAAA